AATTATTATTATAGTGGGGAAACATATTTTATTTAATATTATACTTATTATGGGAAGAATTATCATTCTGGAAGTATCCTCTACAAATGGCACACTGGTAAATAATGACGATTATATTTAGACAATACACTAAGTTCTGTGCCAACTAACACACAACAATGGAATTTACTCTCAGGAAAATTTGTCAAGGAAATTTATGCTGTAAATGAATTTCAATGTGCGGAAGTCTTAAAAAAAAAAAAAGAAAGTGCTAAATCCAGTTGAGAGAGCCACCTTGAGATATAGTATGTCAAAGGACATAGATCTCTCAGCGCATATGCGGGTTTGGTTTTCTTACTTTGGTATTCAGCACATAATAAAAGATCACGTAGCAGTCTTAAAGTTTCCTGCATTAGATGAAGAGATGAACGAGTTTATAACGAATGTAGAAAGGTAATATATTATGTTTAACTTAAAAGAAATTTATTTTTATACATATACTGTATGATACAGGAGAGAAATCTAATGATAGAGATATTATCTTGAGAAACATATCAGCTCGTCAATAAATACTTGTATTTGTGTTTAATATTTATAGTTTGTCTTGATTTGTTTCTTAACTGCATATATGACCTTTTCGATGTAAAGGATGGTGATAATTTGCCAGGCTGTGGAGATGGTTACACAGAGATAGACACCATAAAGGCATAATCTTATATAGTGAAAGGATAGAGGCCTTTGAATAGATTGCAACTGGTATTTAGTATACCTTTTTGGTTTATTTATTCCAGCTAATATATGAATTCATTAATTTATGCGTATAAATTGTGAAAAAAGACGGAAATATAATATTTGATTATTAAGTTCTTCAAGGAGATCTCACTTGATGAATGGGAAGTTTCTGCACAATGTACTAATGCAAAAGTGATTGGAAGTCGTCAGAGTAAATCAATATTAAATACAATTTAAAGCAAAACTTAACCGAACAGATGTCATTTAAAAACTTAGTAAATGGATTTTATGTCGTTTTTCCTGGGGCAAAATTTGAGATCCTACAATATTGACTCACATTAAAAGTTAATTGCAGAGAAAATTTTTAAATTTGTAATGTTAAGTACTAACTATCATGGAATACTGGAAATAGATAGTTTTTGGGCATCAAAAGATCCACATGTCATGTCTCTTCCAATTATAATAATTGAGTTTAAAGAAATGCAAAACAAGCAAGAGTGAGTAAGTATTGGTGATGATTATATTTGTTGGAAAAGCAGAGGAATCAACGATTGATATAAGACAATCTATTTATAAAGCATTTATTAATCTGTCTTTGTTTAAATTCACGTATACAACGTGTATTAATCCCTTGATTAGTTAAATTACAAATTAGTTTTTAGTCATAGTGCTTTTTATAGGGGTAAATTAATTTTGTTTTTTGTGTGGAAGAATGTATGGGCGAGAAGTCATGATAAAATATGAATGTACTGTAATTGCAATTTTTTTTGTGATGCAATATAGGAACTATGACCGGTTGTAATTAGGATGCTGTTTGTGTTGTCGTCTAGAAAGCGTATGTTACTACAATCCAAATCTCTAGTTTCTGGCATCTTGTAATCCTTAATTTCTTTTATGCGTTGCGGAAGAAATGTCAAGAAAATCACATGACTGATGGTTTCCTGAGGGTAGGAACGGTATGGTTTAGTTCGGTCAAACCGATAAAAATCGAACCGAATCGAACCGAATTAATTATCACACCATGTTACAGCATATCAAAATAGTACCAATTCAAAAACGTAAATGTCTTTTGTATGGTATGCTATATCTAGTAATACAAAATGGTTCGACTAAGCCATATTAAAATTTATTTGGCTTGCTATGTAATGGCTCGGCTAATACGTAATTAGTGGCTTTAAAAATAATTCGGTTTTTGATCAGAGCCGACATTTAAGCCGTGAGCTTATTAGCTTATATCATAACTTTATCAAAAGTACTATTTTATATTTGATTTTTAATAATATAATTTAATATTTTATACTACTCGAAAAAAATTTTTGATGACAATTTTTACTTCTTTTTCATAATGTATAACTTTTTGCTATTGTTAGTAATACGAGTTTTACAAAGATTATTGAAATAAGAAAAAAAAATCAAATCAAATCAAAGAACTTTCAAAATATAATGAACAATAATAAAATCATATGCATTTCATACAATTACAATAAAAATACTTTATAACAAAATAAAATTTATTGATAAGTAAATTAAAATTTATCACAAAATCGACAGTTCAACAAAAGCAAACAAATTAATAAACCAATTTTAAATTTTACATAAATATAAATATAAATGTGATTTTAATTAGAATTTTATCAATTAAAAAGCAAATGCAAATTACAAAACTTAAAATCAAATATCTTTAAATACAAATAAAAAAATTTTTATCATTAAATTAAATTTAAAAAATATATTGTATTATAATATAATATAGTATAAATTAAAAAAATAAGATATAATATAATATACAAAAATCTCAATTTTTCAAAATTATATTTTTATGGATAAATCACGATATAAATTATTTAAATATCATAAAACTTTATAAATATATCTTTAAAAAAATTATTATTATGTATTTTATTAAATTGATTATAAAATAATTTTATAAAAAAAAAAGTTTATGATAAAACCATAGCATTGATTATCTATTTACTTCAAAAAAATATATTTGAAATATTTGAAAACATTAAAAAAAAATTTTTAATCAGTTTTTATTATAACATATAATAAAATTTTATTTATAGAAAATATGTAATTTTAAATAACTTTTTTAAAATAAAAAAAATTTATAGACCTGTGAAATGAAAAATCGAACACTCGAAGTCGTGCTACCTTGAATAACGTAGGTAAGCAAAGGTGTGTGAATTTACTAATTACTTCAAGGCAGGCAGAATTGTGTTACCTATTGCCGAAAAAAAGCTATGTCAGTGCATCGGAAGTTTTTACTCCTAGTGGTCCAGTGAGAGATGTCAATTATTACCGCCAGCTTTGGTCGAATACTGGCAACTTTCATCCCAAAGCTAAGTGGAATGAAGCCACGTAGGTCTCCTATTTGCTTCGACGACTCGATATTTTATAGTGGCTGATATCAGTTGTTATTTGTTGCCAAGTCTACCATACGTGCTCAAGACTGGTATCACCTTGGACAAATATATTTTTCAAACGGACAAACATAACAAAAGGCTTTTGGGAATGGGAATATAAAACTGTTCGTGTTATTGAACTTCCTATGACTTTTCACGAGAAAGCTGTTGGTACAATTGTGCAAAATCTTAGCGGACTGTTTTATCCCTTGATCGATACTCTTGCTGAAATTAAATTTACTGGATCAGCGAGTGAGTTGTTTGCTTTCTTTATGTTACTGCATTCTAAGTATGCCTCTATTACTCACTACCGTTGACTAAAAGCAACAAAGAGCCGAAAGGATCCTGATGCATCTTTTCGACCTCTTGGAAAACCTCCAGTGCCCAGCGGTGAATATGATGGAATGGTGTGAAGTGGTTTTAACCTTGACGAATTCCTAATATCGGTAACGACATACAATCTTAGAACGAACCCTGGCCCAATCTCGTAATCGAAATCACCTATTCCGTAACTGAGGCGAAATGTAAGAGAAAAGTAGAGACATACTGGCTTGTTAATAATAGAGTTCATGACGTAATTGCGACCAAGCTAAATTATACCCTACCCCGGACGGTACGACTCCAACGGAGATGACAATAAGCAACGGCAAGAGGATTTAATTCCTGCCCAGTTCCCTTGGATAATGTTTATTCTTTAATAGGCTTGGCACTATTGCGTTAATAATAAAACAGCAGTTGGTGCATTCGCTCCTACAATGGTATGTTATATGATCACGTACTTTTTCAGCACAGAAATGAATGAATTTAATTTTTTCTCTATTCATTATGAGTTTGGGACGGTTGACCGTCAGGGTAATCCACTTAACATTGTACGGGGTCAACGTGTTATCAACATTTTTCTTGAATGCATTTACCATGGAATGCCCAATAACTTTGTGATCCCCTCACCTCCACTACCTAACCCTATTTCCATCGATCTCTTTAAAGTTCGGTCTAATATTTTAAGTCTCTAAAACTGGCGTGTCATATCCTATTTATACATCTTATATCGGGACTTAGTCGAGTCCTATTTCGATACACGCTGACCTTTTTTTAACTGTCATTAGTTCTGCCTCATACTTCCCATGCAAATGCCTTTATATTTATTACTAGGACTAATAATGAATAAACTTTTCTTATGATGCCCAGATTGACTTTATGCCCACGCGTCTCTTTCCGATTTTTCGACCAACCCGATATGCCTAGTGAGAATCACACAATGCTTATGACGCTCTTTATCCCAGATTCTTGCATTGGACATCGTTATCCATAAGTTTGAGAATTTTTCTATTGTGGCTCCGGATCTGGGAAAAGTGACCAACTACAATCAAGGAATCCATGTCTACACGACAAAAATTATCAACTCATTGCCATTATTGCTGAGCTTGGAAAGGAGAATGATGAGGTCAAGGATGAGAATACAAAATTGAAACAAGCTATAGAAGCAAATGCTGAGCTCAGAGACAGAGTCACGAAATTGGAATAGACAGACAAAAATAAAGAGATCGACGAATTTCTGGATCTGAAAAATAAGGAAAGAGTTGTGGCGAGATAAAGCTTCAATGTCAATCAGCTGAAGACCGATCCCAGAACTTGATTTCAGAGCAAAATAATGTAAGCGGAAAAGAGAAATGCCAAAAATTTTCCGTCACGAGCTTACGTGACGATCGGCAAAATGAAACTATGGAACCCGATGAAATTGAACCCACTAAAAGTCAGTATATAGAACAAAGATTAATAAAAGAATTACTCAGTGACATCCCCATCATATCGTCAGTTATAATCCCAGAATATCGACCATTTCAAATCACGACACAAAGCTTAGTCTGTTTATTTCATTATGCGTTACGATCTAGACATGAAGAAATCTTAGCATGACATAATTACTCGAAATAGAGTTATCGAAATTTGTCGGGATTTAGGAGTTACAGATAAAAAGGCTAGAATATAATTATACAAAAGAAATGTTAGAGCATTTACCTGGTATTACATCAGGAACTTGCGTATGAAAACTCTAAGAGTCAAAGAAATTCGTACACTATTTGGGAAAAAGGGAGTTGGAATAGATAAAATTAAACAAGTTACCTATAGCATATTTGCTATCTCTAGTCTTACTAATAACCAAATTCAAAAGATTATCAAGAATGTAACTTCAGTAGAACCTTTATTGGAAACCGATGCGAAGGTAAGTGTTTCATCTAATAATATATTGCCAGAAAATAAGACGAGCCTTGGGACTAGCTCTGCTATTCCATCTATAGATCATGCCAATGTATCATATATACCATCTTCCTTAAAACTTATTACTGAGAAAGTCTTACCTAAAAAACAGAATAATCTAACTCATGATTGTGATTATTTTCGTAATAAAACATTAGGTCGTTACCCTAGTATGTAGAGAGAATTTGGCAGTGAAAAATTTGATTATTATCATGTAAATTAAGTCATAAGGATGAAAAAAATATAAGAGGTAGATACGAAGAAATTGAAATAATTGCGTAAGTGAATAATTACATAAACCTGACCAAGTGGAAAATGATATTTTTTTCTTGACAGTTACGTGATTTTGAATTGACTTGCATAATATAAAAAAATGACATGTCTTTTGATACTACCTCTAGCAAGATATTAACTGATGATTATTGAAAATGGTACAGTAATTTAGTTGATTTACCAAGTTCGCAGGCAGATAAAATTCGTTTTAGATTATATAAAGCATATATGGAAGAGACTGGACTCAATTCCTCAATTTCCAAGACTGATTCAAACAAAAATCATCTTTATCAGTATGCCATTGAATATGAAATAAATCACAGAATTTTTTATCACAGATGCAGAGAAAAATGAATAGTCCATGGGATGTTTTTGTGGAAATTTGAAAGAGATATACATTTCTATCACGGTGGAATAGAAAGAAAAAAAGAATCTAAAAATATTATAAATTTTAACAGATTAAAAGAGGCTGGTCAGTAAATAGTTATCATATTAAAATATACTAAAAAATATTTGAATACTGTATGGCTTAATGATTTTATGGAAGAATGGAAAAAAATCCATGCTCAATTCACATAGATATCTTTTGAAAAAAAGTTTTATTTGTATCATAGGTAAATCTTCAATATATATTATATAAATAACAATTCACAATTTCTGTTCTATTTATAGACCTAGAAGAAAAGCAAAACTATATTATTAAAATGATTTTAAAATGATTTTTTTATTTATATTCAAAACAATAAAAATCATAATTATTTTGATTTTAATAATTCAATATCCTGTTCTATATGCAATAAAAATCATAAATATATATATATATAATAGATAAATAGCATTTCACTTGGAAAGTGCAACACCAATTCAAAACAACAAAGATATGTACAAATTAAGAGGATTACACATACAGAAGAACAATATATAAACTATTGAACAAAAAGTTTTTCATATTGAAAAAATTAATGAAGAGAAAACCTGATATTTACAAATCAAACAAATATCCAGAATATAATAAAACAAAAAATATAGATTATTTGATACACAAGTATTAAAAATATAAAATTACAAAATAATATAAGAAAATAATCAAGAAAAAAATGAAATATTGTTAAAGGAATAATAAAAAGAACACCATAGAAATAAAAATGTCAATATTTAATAATACAAAACATATAAGAAACTATATAGTCAAGAGAATATTGACAAAAGGTATAATAAAATACATTTATCAATATACAAGAAAAAAGATTAAAGAAATATATAAAAAAATTATCAGCAAAACAACAAAATTAATTAATGAATTATGAAAAAAGAAATATGATAAAATCATAGAATGAAAAGAGCTAAACAACATTAATAAAGTAAATAAAAAGAAACAAAGGTATAGAATATATCAAGTAAAAATAGAAAAGAAAAAAAAAGAAGAAAAAAAAATAGCAAATAGAAAAAAATTTAGACAAGAAAATTGCTAGAAAGATAGGTAAGAAACATGAACAAAATAATAAAAAACAATTTTTACTATTTATATACCAGTAATATAAACAACAATAATATCTTAACACATTAGTTTCAATCTCTATTTAATAGAAAAGTTAATAGCAACAATTAATATCTAAAGAAATCTCAATATAGTTTAATATATAATATATTTATTAATTAATGTTATAGCATAGTTTATATATAGCAATATGTATAAATATATATAAATGTTAATCTTAATAAAGTTTGCTAAGTAAGTATTAACTAGTTTAAAAAAAAAATAATAAATAAGATAAATAAATAAAGTAATGAAGACTATATTAATATAAAAATCTATTATTTCAAATATTGAAGGACTTTTTAAAATTTAATCCAAATAATAATAATTAAAGTATAAATTAAAAATTTTAAATATTATTGGTCCAAATTAAATTATTTGGCTACCTAATTACAATCAATTAAATTCAAATTTATTAATAAAAGTTTATACCAAAGTTTTGTTGTTTGGTTTAATTTATATTATTTAACACTTAAAAAATACACAATAATTTAATAAAAAAAATATAATATTTGATAAAAAATAATAATTCAGCAATAAAATCATTCAGAAATAAAATTATTTGATAATAAAATTATTTGGCAAAAAAATCATTTGGTAATAAAATCATTTGATAAAAAATTATTTAGCAAAAAAATATTTTTAGTTAAAAAATATTTGGCAATAAAGTTATAGCATTCTGTATGTTGTTTCCTTAAAGGATGGAATTAAAATTCCAAACTTCCAATAGGATCAAAACCTGCAGATCACCTCCACAGTCATGATCATAAACCAAAATTGTGTCACTCCCTCTTGTAGTAATTATACAAGAGGAAAAGGAAATAAAAAAGAAATTTTTTGAAGAAAAAAAAAAAAGCCATCGTCTATTCTAACTATCATTGAAAAGGTTATCTCTGTGAATTTCAAAATCCAAATCCCTCATGATTCCTTACTTCTCACTACCTGTAGCCAGTCAAACTGTTTAATTTCCATTGAAATAGTCGATGTTCAAAAATATTTAAGGACACTTTCAGAAAAGTATTTCTTGAGACTTTATGCTTGAAGACTTCTAACCAAAAAGAATATTAATTTTCTATTGTTAATTTCTCTCCCAAGTCATGTTTTCTGGAATTATTGCTTCATTCAATTGGTAGATAGTTTCAAGATTCCTTTCTTCAACTTGTTACCAGATTGGGATAAGACCTAAACCTTGTTGCTACTTCCTGTTCTCAAAAAAAAATAGTGAAGAAAAAAAAAATAAAAGGATAGGAATAAAAAGAGGTTGCTTTTATTTTACTTACAATTTTAACTTCAACTCTTTCAGGAACCAATCACATCATTAGTTTGATATTGTGCAACTGGGAACATGTAAGGAGTACATGTCTTGTTTACTTTTTCTGTGGCTGATGTGATCAACCAATCTGTAGTCTTGACCAATTATCTTTCAAGAAATCCAGTGTGATCAAAAATTCAGGATCAAACTGAGGTAGGCAAAATTTCTTAGAAAACCAAGAAAAAAGAAAGTACGCTTGAAAAAAAAGAAGTGGGAAGCCAAAGAGATGATAGAAAGACTAAAGACTTCTTTATTCTTGTTTCTCTAGATTCTTAAATCTTTTGGGGATCTTTGGAAGGTATTTTTTCTTGTTGGTTTTTTTTCTATAAAGGTGTTCTTGTTGTAGACTTTTTAGATAAGTTTCTTTATTTAGTCACAAAAATAATCAAGAAAAGTGTTTTGAAAAAGAAAATAAAACAAGTGATAGCTTCTGCTTGTTTGGCTGGTTAAAAACCAGTATTGTTTTTAAGAAAAGTATATAGACTTTATTATTATAAAGACAAAAAGTCTTTTGAAAACATCTGTTTTTTTGGTTTGGCAAAAAGATCAGCAGAAAGAGTTTTTTTTTTTTACTATAATTGTAATATTAATTATTTGTTTATATTTTGTTCATTATTTAACAATTCTTTATTTATTATTTACTAAATTCTTTCTCTATTTCTTAATTTAAATCTTTCTACTCATAATTATATTTTTTTTTTACTGATTTCATCATGCTTCTTATAACTCTTAAAGATTTTATAATGCTGAAATTCTTTTGCTTTGGAATACTTTTTTATAGTTTTTGTATTTTTTGTGCTTTTTATACTTCTTGTAATTTTCTTTAATTTTTTTCTTTAATATTATTTTCTATAGGGCTCTGAAAAGTATTAAACTGGTATCAAACTGGTATTGAAATAATACTGATCTATAGTAAATT